AGCATTGCATACCACATGCGCGAAAAGTTAGTTACAATCAGGGTTACCTGAGGAGGAAGTTTTTTTTTTTTTTACATGCATATATATTTATTTAATAAATAATAATATTTGTAATGCAGGCAAAATACAAATACAGATATAAAATGTTATACAAATATTTACATTATATGGTAACAGGTCTGGGAAGTGAGAGCAAGGTATAACAGAAGAACTCAGGAGGACAGATAGCAGTTTAAAGAGTTTATTGCAGCAATAAGTAAATAAATGGATGAATACTGAAATAAGAGTGGTTACTGTCTTGCATGTTGGTGGGAGATTACAGACGGAGAGCAGGTGGTGGGAACAGAGTTTGTGATGAGCACACACCTCTGCTTGATGTCGGAGAGAGACCAGGTGAGAGTATACACACGATACACGATAGAGACAGGCTGGGGCAACATGAGGATCCAGGAGCTTGGAGAAACGCTGGAGATAGGAGCTTTGGAGTATAACATAGAAACACTGAGATCAGGTAAGCAGTCCGTTGCTCAAAGTGAGACCAGACAAAGACTGGATGCGAGGTGTGTGCTTATTTAAGCCCTTTAAAATTAAGGTAGTTAGACTTTAAATGTGAAACAAATGTAGTAACTACTATTCTCCTCATGTCCTCCACTCTCTCAGTGAGAGGTGAAATAATTAAGAAAGAAGCAGCAGCCAGAAGAGAGCAGAGAGAAATAATATTGATTTAAAGCCTAAATATTTTAAAAGAGAGTAAAAGAGGAGTGGAAAAAATAAAGAGTTTTTAAAGTCTGCATGAAATCAAAATGTACTAAATTAATTTTGTTAGCGGCCATTGCTAGTCTTGAGGTGAACAATGTATCCGTGCAAGCTAATCCACTGAAAAAAAAAGAAAAAGAAAAAGTTTGTATTGGTAATCTTTAATCAAAATCTAAACATTTGCTTCCGCTCTTGAATGGCACTACTTCTCTGATGATGTCAGTTTGACGGCTTGGGCAGAATTTGCTTAACCACGCCCCTCCAACCATTAGTTTGCTGTGAGTGAGAGATGAGAGGAGGAGTGCAAAAATAAAACCCCGCCCTCTATTCAATATTCTGCTTCAGTTCACAACACTCCAAAAAGAAAGGAAAAATTGAAATCGCATCATATGACCCCTTTAAGTTATTTTTCTCCAGTGAAATCCAGGTGAAGAAAAACATCTTTTCATGCTTTTATTTCAAGGAACTCCGGTTGTTTTTTGAGTTTCCCCGCTGACGGGTACTCCCTGAGTCGACTTTGGACAATCGAATGGCGAGTCAAAAGTGTGTTATTCAATGTCACAGGGTGTCATTTCCTGGAGTGAATTTAGCACCCTTAAAGTATCTTCAGTCCCTGGATACAGATAAGAGAATCCAACACACCATACACCTTGGATAACCTGAGTTAAACTACCCGAGTAGTAGATTTTTTTTCTCTCTTCTGTCATGTGACTATTTCTACTTCTCAATATTTTTATTTTTTTACTTTGTCTTGTCTTTATAAAAGGACAAAAAAAGAACACAAGGAAAGGTTTTTTTGAACTGTGTTTGGGGAAAAATATTATTTTACTTGTACTAACATGCCTGTGTTTTCTCTTCGTTCCATTGACCGTGTTTGCAAACTTTGAACTTCTTTCGATTGACGATACCGATACAACTACTTGTTTTTCTCCTTTCACAAGTTGTAGTGAATTGACAGTCTCAAATCCTCCTTACGAACTTAGATGTTCAATATAATGATATGCTACTGTGCCCATTCAAACTAACCTGCTCATTTCAACCTCCACATTAGAGTGTTATAACGGGTTACACTTATGTGGCGAGTTGATTGATGATTAACTCCGGTGAAGGTGCTCGTTGTGATTGAGTGGTAGAGGTGTTATCAACCGACATATTTTATGATCACTGTCTTTTGTTATGGGTTTGTTTTCTTTCCAATAAACTAGACAGACTAAAAACTTAACTAATACAGATATAACATTTTGTTTCTATGACAACTGAATTTAGTCGTTTCTTGCTTGCACATGCTGCAGGTCATTGTGTCGCAGCATCAGATACACAAGATGAGTCAGTCTCAGTCTATCAATGAAAATTCACCCGTCACAACCACCTGACGCCCCATTGTGATTTTGTTCCTCATATTTTTGTTCTGAAGGTCTAATGAGAGGAATATATGCCACATGGGGTTCTAGAAAATAACTTTAGGCATGCCAGATAAGCATCTGAATATAAATTTACAGAAGGTAAAATGCTTGAGTCACGACAGATATTTCCCTTAGTAGTCGACAGCCTCGAATAGAGCACATCATTTATAACGGCAAGAGTACGATTATCATTCAATTCAGCTGAAAATAAACAATGCATTACATACTTTTTCAACTGCCAAAGCCAATTTCATTCACATTAAAGGCTTGATTAGTGCTAATTTCGGACCCTGGTTATAGGTAAGGTAATATTTGCAAGGTAAGAATATGTACACCAACAGTAAGAAGTTTATTACATTTTGTAAAGCCAACAAATTGGAAAGAATGGACAGTGACAGCAATAGTGCTCTCATCATCAGTGATTAGTGTCTCAAAAAAAAGAAAGAAAGAGTTACATAAAATGTGCCACAGACAGTTATTACAGTGACCAATCGTGTAATATTAGCATCATGTTGCTGCAACAATAATATTCAGCTTCTTTTCCATTATAGAAGTACTAAAGCACCAACAATGTGCCGTGTAAACACTCTGGTTTATTACTGTTTGAAGGAAGCTCTGTGTTAAAAATACTCCATTAGTCCTGAATTTCATCATAAAATGCAGAATTTCCACTTTCATTCATATTTAATTCTATATATTCACTCAACTACATTAATTAGAATGGAAAGTATTAAAATTTACTGTTTTGATAACAAAACAAGGAACAAGCCTCAAGCAAATCATGAAAAATATTCCACATTAAACATAATCAGATTGCATAAACAGTACTGTTTAAAAGTGCAGCACTCAACAGTCACACACATTACCAAACCAATCGAACAAAAGTTCATTTTCTTGGCCATTAAGGAAAAAAAAAAAAAGCATCTGTGTGAAATATATATAATGCATCCTTTTACTGTTGAGCTTGTTTTGTAAATTACATTTTTCGAAATGATTCTCATTAGATTCTCATTACAGTAATAGAATATTTTTATTTTATTTACCTTTTAATTAAAATCCAGCATAAATGAAAGGCAGTAGAACAAATACTATCATGATGTATAATTACTTTAAAAAAAATGATCAATTACACTTGGGGTTGAAAAGTGCTTAATTGTCATTAAAATAATGTTGACACACACACATATACTGGAGTGACTTGGACATGTTCTTGCATCACTTAAACAAACTTACCCAAGTACCTCAAGAAGGACCCTTTTTTGAGTTCAAAATAGCAATTCTTTGCCAGACAAGGCCCAGAGGAAGCAAAAAGGCACGAAGTTGTGAAGATACAGAAACCACAGAAGCGCTTTCCTCCATCCATTTGTATGGGCTTTGGCTTTCTGAAGCTTTGTGAAATAGTAAAGTGCACTGCGTGGGCTTTTTTAGGATAAAATGTGGTCACACATTAAAGGTTTTCACACTGTTGCTTTCTGACAGAGGCATAGTCGTTAAATTGATTCTTCCAGTCCAGCATGTAAGAAAGCCAGCGGTGGAACTGAGACTTCCACTGGAACTCCACTTCATCAATACTCGCTACAGCACAGAGAGAGAGAGACAGAGAGAGACAGAGAGAGAGAAAATGAGGCAGGTCAAATTTGAGACAGAAGGATATTGGATTTATCGTAGTGAAAATGAGAAGTGAAGTCATTTAGACCTGAGAAACATTTGGGAGGCCTAAACAGAGCCCACATGACCGTCTGAGTTTGTGCAGTGGTGCATGCGTGCATTAACGTGGTAACAGCCCTAATGAAAAAGTGATAAATTGCTATACATTTTTCTCATGATGAAGCCATATATTCAACTTTGTTCGAGCAGAACCAAAACCTGAATCAAATATTCAAATCTCTGCTCAATGTTTTGGCCCGTTTACAATACACACACCTGTCTTTAATACTGGAAAACCCAAAATAATGTTGGAAATATTCCCCGATAGTGGATGTTTATCTCCAAGGTTACATGTTAAAGTAACAGAACACCAAAAATAATTGTATGACACCACAAGACTGTACATGTACAATTTTATGGTGCATTTTGACAAATGTCATTTTCCATTTGAAAGGTTTTAGATTCTTAAAAAAATTGTGTTCCACCACATGCAACATTTTAGGTGAACTATATCTTTAAAAAGCAACTTCTCTGAGCAGCATGCAAACATAATCATTCATCAGTCAATCAGACATCCGCAGAATGACTGGAAATTGCACAACCTTGCCAAATAAAAAAAATTATATATATATGTGTGCGTGTTATATATATATATAAACATGTATAATTAGCTGCTGTACGGTTATTCATATTAAAATTTTCTTTGCATAATTTTCTAATATTTAGTGCTGCTGAAACCACTATTAAAATGTTACTATTTTAGTTCCCTTTCTTTCAAGGACAAGTGCTATAGTTGTGAATAGAGACTCACGGCTTGCATGGCAACAGAAAGTCACTCGATCCGTGTCTCACACACACACAGACAGACAGAGAGAGAGAGAGAGGGAGAGAGAGAGACAGACAGACAGAGAGAGAGAGAGAGAGAGGGCAATATAATAGTGTTCTTTATTTAGAATGAAATCAAGTGAAATAACTTTATGACTTCTCACAATCATGAAAAGCTCCTTGTGAGAGAATCACTAGAAAATCAAGGACAAGCACATTTGTACTTCGTATGAGTCAACAAATTTCTCCAACAATTTCTAGTTAATATTTTAAACAGGGAAATCAACATATGAGTCATTCCTGTTTTGCAGTAACTTTTCATCTCTGTAAACTTTAAACAATAAATATGGTAGTGCTGGCAGTATTTCTATATACCAGAATTTTAGAAATACGCACTTTATTTGTTTTGTTAATAAAAGTTCTATGTTTTATATATACGCTAAAGTGAGTTTGATGTTGTATTTTGACGCCGAACTGCCGTTAATTCAAAAGTGAATGTAAAATGCGCACAGCGCTTTTAAGCTATTTAAAAGCGAAGGAAAGCAAGGAAAAGAGGGAAAATTCAAACGAACTAAAAACAAACAATTGCTTTACTCCGAATTGCCGCTATTTTAAAGTGAAAGTAAAATGGGCACACCGCTTTTACAAGCTATTTAAAAGCGAAGGAAAGCGAGGAAAAGAGGGAATGCCCCGCCCCCGCGGTGATACCGTATCGGTGTT